GTTTACTAAGATTAACCTTACAAAATAATTAAATTACAATATATTGAAAAGCAATGCTTTACTTCCATAATTTTCTGTTCATCTTACCAACATGTAATTTGTCATACAACAATGCAAAGTGAAATTTTCATTTTTTTTCATAAACCATTATAAAAAAGCTCAAATTTTCAAAGAAAAAAAACCTAAAATACTAAAAATAGGTTAAACATCATTTACTAAATTTTTGAATTTTTTTCAAAAAAAAAAAAGAGAGAATAAAAAAATGGGTATTCCGTATTGGTCATAAATGTGAAATTAAAAAATAGGTTAAATATCATTTGTTCAACCTCAAAGCTGATTTTTCCCAACTTGAATGATACATGGAACATAGTGAGAAAAATATTGAAAAAAAAAATTATTAGGATAATTGATAGGATTTTGCCTTATAATTACATTGTTATTTGTTTTTTTTCGAGGAATAATTGCATTGTTATTTTTGGTACATTACAGTTAAATTGTTTTATTTTAGGTAAATTTAGTATGGAAAAGTGTGTTGAATCTGATTGCCAGGTACTTCGCAAGGCAGATTGCGGGATGGGTAGTGAGGGGTACATTGGTGGACCTATCATCAATTGTCAAGGAGAAATCATTGGGATCAACTTCTATCATTGGAACTACACTTCTTTTCTTCCTATGAACATAGCTTTTAGATGCTTGGAGTGCTTAAAGAAACAAAACAAAGTCCATCATCTATGTCTTGGGATGAAATTTACTGATCTTCATTCAGTGGAATTGGATACTTTGGAAATTATAATTCATCAGTACTTCCCTCACATTTCCCATGCTGTTATGATTGAACAGATTGCAGCAGAGTCCCCGGCTGCTCATGCCGGAATAGTCCCCAATGATGTTCTTGTTGAACTTGGAAGTAACATTGTTAGGTCTAGCATGGAGTTTTTCGGAATGATTTCGGACAGGACTGGTGAATCTGTGGAGATTGTTATGACGAGGGCATGACTTGGTGTATGTTTGAAGCTAATTTTAGATATCCACGAGACTGGGACAGGTAACCATAATAAGTGGCCAATTCTGAGGGAAGAGTAGACGAGGGTATGCAGTGCAGAATAGAAGTCGGTGTTTCTTGTGCTAATGAATACGTTTTAGGCTATGCTTAATCACAAGTTGCCATATATTCAAATATATTGCTCAAACCACTATAATGAAGGTACCTTTCAGTTTCTATAGGTTGTATTTCTTAGCTCTGAATAAAAAAATTATTGTTGATTAAAAATATTGAAATCAGGGGGCACTTGAAGAACAAGCATTATTGGACATATCAAATCCATAACCAACAGCAATCACAATGCTGAAAAATTTTTATATCCAAGTCCAAATAACAGATGTTCTGAGGAAAAGATGAAGATAACAGATTTAACAATTACACAAAATTATTCATCAGGTGGAGGAAATAATAAAAAGGGAATTCATGGAAGTTATGGACTACAAGGTGGTGGCGGTGGTGGAAGTGATGGTGCTCTTAGAGGCGTTTCTGGAGGTTCAGACTAATGTTTGAGCAAAGGGTTTGGATGACTCAGCTTCGACTGTATCCCTATCATGAATATCCAGAGCTTTAGCCATTATGGCAAGCTTTCCACTAGGATGAGAAGTTTGGAACTCCAAGCCATGGATAAGAATGAGTAGCAGCAAGCAAGAAGGAGAAATATCCATGAAAAAACCGAAGTTAATTACTTCTTCAGAACTCCTTTGCTGTAAAGTAAACTTATAAGCTAACATTTTCTTATAAAAGCTGAAGTTTTTGTTGGCTTGCTGTTGTCAAACTGATCATATCTCGGTTGAAGAGTTTGCTACCGTATGCGTAAATTGTTGAAACCCGAGGCTGGAAGACTGAGCTGTATGCCATAAAGGCCGAGGAAAATGGAAATTATGTAGGCACAATTATATATAGATTGGATTTTTATAATCACCACTCTTTGAGTGCTAGAAAACAGGGCATTTGCACATGTCTGTTTTGGAAAAATAAGGCGGTTCATTTCAACTACAACCAAGCAACCGTGGATGTGAAAATTAGTTCTCATACATGACCATGGTAAGTCATATTACAAGACATGTGCAAGGCTAGACAATTTTGAACATGTTTTCCTCAGTAATTTGAGTCGACTAATCGTCTCTACTGTTTGAAACTTGACATTTCTATGTGGTAGGCCTAATTATCTCCATTGTTTTCCTAGATTATATTGTTTGAAACCATCTTTACGCTTTCTGAGACTAAAGTGGTTTTCTGAGGTCTACAAGAACATTTGCATTTGTAGATTAATTATTAAGATGATAACATCCATCTCCTTCTGGTTCTCAAACTCAAGGAAAGATGATATGATTTTCTCTGTGACATCTCCGAGCAAGAGGGTAGACTTTTTTCATCCCAATAATTCATTTGTACAACTTTTTCTCCTCTCAATAATTCATCTTTGTTTGTATTGCGATTATCAACGACATAAATTGACAGCATTTAAATCCAAGGAAACAGACAGCTTTGGATACAACGATCCTGTAGTTCCTTAGGGGGTAGAAATCCTGTGTCCCGTCTCCTGAGAAATTCACAGCCAAGCCCTGGCGGCCTGAACCCCCCCCCCCCCTGCGCTGCTCTTCTCTAAAAGGGTTAAGCCCCAAATGAACCTGCCAAAAGTTTGGTCCAAAAATCAGAAAATTAGGATTGGTATTGCTATTTAAACAGCAGTTTCTGTGGTTCCACAATGAAAAAATGCTATAATCACTTATGTTTCAAGAACATCATAATATCACACACAGATAAGGACAGTTTAGTCATACTCAACTTTCAATAGATTTTGTGATGTTGGGGGCTTAAGTGGGAATCAAAATCCAATTATTTGACTTGTTATAATGGCTTAAAATTCAAAGAAATACCCAACCCCAATTTTCCCATGTGCTAAAACAAGTGTCCTGTTCTATCCGCACAAGAGAATAAATGGTTCTTATAAATCATGCCATCTAAATTTTTAGGCCGGTACAGATCAATGTAATTAAGCATATATCTAGGCCACGCCTCATTAATCTTTACCTTCAACAGGGATGATTTCTTGAAAAGTCTCCTTAGGAAAAACTTAATCATTCACTTTTTTTTTTGTTAAAATTTTATTTTATTAAAAATATATCTAATTCTTTCGTCATTTGAATCAACGGTCTGATTTCACACAGCCTAAAAGTCAGTCATGACTAGTCCTCGCTGCCTTTGCCGCCGTGTTTGACGCCGACAGGCCCGTGCAATTCCCTTTTCGGTTTCCTCGTCGTCCCCCTTTTTGGTGTTTATCCCCTTCTTTCAAATCTCCAACCCACCGTAAGACCTCAAGAGTCAAGATTTGGAAATCGAGCAACCGCCACTGCTGCCGCTAATGCAGAACACGGACTTTCACCGCTGAATTGACCGCCGCCACCGTTCTTCACCTGTCTAAGTTGTTTCCGTCGTCGTGGGTCCCCAACGATCGTCGGAAACGAGCAGCACCAGCTCCTACTGCTGTTCACTTTACCGGAACACCCGCTGTAAATTGCTCCTCACCGCTTGCGACTTCTTTCCTCCCACTGTTGCAAACCTCATACAAAACCTCAGAGAACCCTTAAAGCCCGAGACCGAGTCCTAATGCCAGAGTTTTTGATCTTTTTTGGGCATTGCTTACTGTTTGTATTCTCTGTTATGGTGATTGAATGTGGAATTAGTTGGATTGAATATGGAATTGGTTGTGATACTTTTCTGGGTTTGTGGACTTGGTTACTGTTAATTGTTGGTTGCTAGGGATTTTGGCAGTTTTGTTAAGTTGCTATTGGGTTTGGTGGCCTCAGCCTGGGATTGTATTGTGGTGTGCTTTTTGCAGAGGGAACTGGGGCTGAATGGAGTTGACGAGGATGGCTTTCAATGGGTAGCTTGCAAGAACCCCTTCCTTTTTTGTGGAATCTATCACGATGGTTTATGATGGTTAAAAGGTTTAAGCAAAAGAGGTTGTGGGTAATCTTGATTGTAGAGGAAAATGGTAATTTAAGAGTGGTGGTGTTTAAGCCTTTCTTCTCTGTTTTTTCTTTGTAATTATTCTTGCTCAATTGTGGCTGGTAATGGGTTTTATGGGAATTGAGCTAGAAATTGGAGTGTATTGCTTTTGTCAATTATCATATTTTGCAGGGAATTAGGCTCGGCTATGGAAGATGGTGGCAGAATTGGCTTGATGGAAATTGGTGGTGGTGCTGATGGTTGCAATTGATTACTTCCTGCAATCATTTTTTCTCCTCCGTTTTCCCTATGATTTTCCCTCTAATTCCCTCTCAAATCTCCTAAAAACAACTTTCACAAACACTCTTGCAATCCGTAATATATTTTTGCTTCCTAAATTTCGCGACTCCCTCCCTTTTTGGCTAATCACATGTCCATTTATAGCACAAATCAGAAGAATCTCAACTCCATTAGGATTAGAAATCCTTAAAAAAAAAATTTATCACCCAATTTAATCTTAATCCAAAGTCTACCCTGACAAGAATTACCACTTTCAATATCTTTCGGTCTATTATTATTATTATTATTATTATTATTATTATTATTATTATTTTTGTAAAAGGATCAGATAGTTTAAAAAAGATGAGATAAGATAAAAAGAAATTGAATAAATAAAGATAAACCACAAGAATAAGAGAATAAAATAGGAACAAAATAAATAAATAAAACAAGGTAAATAAAATAAGATAAGAAAACTTAAAAATACAGTAAAACGGAATAAAGTGTCTATAATAAATATAAGCAATTATTGGAATTGTTTTAATAATAATAATAATAATAATAATAATAATAATAATAATAATAATAATAATTTCCACAGAAGAAGGGGAATTGCCTCAAGATCTTCACAAACTTACTGACTCCAGCTGTTAAAGCTTTATCAACTGTAACCTTGGTGCCAAGTATCTGATAAAAAAGTCTTGTTATAGAAGGTAGCAAGCTAAAATCATATAGGTGGTTGGCACGGCGATGAAGGTGGTGGTGGTGCTCGTGCTCGTGCTCGTGCTCGTGGTGGGGATGGTGTTGGAGGACGACGATATGGAGGTTTATAGTGAACAGGAGCATTAATCACAGGTGATGGTGGAGGTGATGCCCGAATCCTCTTGGACACAACTTTCAACTTATTCCAAACATCACGTGGAGGAATTGTATCCAAGGGTGAGCCAGAAATAGATTCCGCAGCCTGGACTGTGAGATTACATTGTGAAAATAGAAGGACATTTAACAGAAATAAGGCAAGCAGGCAAGAACTGAAATCCATTTCTGATGCCCTAGTTTTAGCAGGGCCTCTTCTTTTATATAGTCCAGCTATAGCATGAAGCTTCGAGGATTGACAGAGACTAGTTGAAGTTGAGACTTGAGAACGAGTTTAGAACAACTTGTGAGCCAGCTGGTGCTAGTTGTCTTAATCAATGGATGGAAACTTCAGAGAAAAAAAAAAAAGCAACTTCACTTTTCCTACCTAAACTATGTGCTCCAACTCTTTATATCAATTGAGTACAACTACTATCCTTTATCATCCATAATATTAAAATTGTAGAGAATGAAGTGCATTAGAGATGTCTAGTGGCACCTTTTTTTTTTTACGTTTTAAAAAAATATAATAATTGATGAAATTTAAAAATATATTTATGATATTTAAAAATATATTTATGATATTTAAAAATATAATCTTTGTTAACAAAAAGAATATTTATTGATTTAAAAATGTGATTAATAATTTATTAAAAATTATATTTTTAATTTTAAAATATGATTGATAATAAATAAAAAAATTAAATTTAAAAATTATTTAGATTATATTTTTTATGTCAGAGCTTTTTACCACAAAAACTATGTTTTTTTGCGTAAGAAACATAACAATAAATGTGATAGAAGAAGAGAAACAACTATTTTTATTTAATATTAAATGTAATGGAAAAGAAATGAATGTGATGGATGGAACAGTAACAATAAATGTGATGTGATGAAGGAATAAAAATTTTTAAAATTTTGGTAGAGAAATAAATATTTTTATTTAGTATTAAATGTGATGCAAAAGAAATAAATGTGATTGGATGAAGGTAGAATAACAAATGTGATGTGATACACTTTGTGAAAAGAAATAAATACGATGAATGAGTAGTGATCGATAAAAACTGTACTTTGACTTTTTTTTTTGGTTATCGTGTGTCTAAGAAAGAAGGATGGAGAGAGCAAAGAAAGAGAGAAGAGGAAAAATCTTTATCTCTCTACTCTATCCTAAGGATCTATTTATAACAATCGATGAACCTTGGTTACGTTACATAGTAAATAGATCCGGTTTGAGTTACAAATATGAGAGGAATCTTAAATGTCAGCCATTACTTTTGATGATGTGACGTGACATGAGTGATCTTTTTGACCATGTCCTGCTGCATATGCTATATGTCTACTGGTCCACTGGTCGGTTATTTTTCTTGAACGTTGTTCCAATTGACTAATTTTTTATCATTTAGATAAAATGACTAGGAAAAGTTCTCGTTTTATTTCATAAATTTCATCTTTATTGATATTGAAACAATAAATATTATGAATTATCAAAATCTTTCATATTAGATAATTTACTCAATAATTTCAATGCTGCTGGGTCTATTAGAGGTAGATTATTTTTAGTATATAATCTTTAGATAAAAATTTGTCGTTTATTCGTTTTAGTCGAAATTTTAAGATATAGAGATTTTAAGATTTTAAAGTGTAAAATTTTTACATGATCCATCATTATTATTCTAGCTTAAAATTGGTATTGATTCGAGGAAGAAAATTTTTTAAAGCTTGATTTAGCTTGTCTAAATCTTCATTAGGATTTTCAAGTTGAAATCCACCTATTAATTTTTAAAATTTTCATAGTTGACAAGGTTAAATAAATTTTTTTCTTTAAAAGATTCATAACAAACTAATAATTTTTAAATGTATATAGAAAAAGCATTGATCAATTTTTACATAATCAATAAATTTAGGTTTTATAAAAGCAGAAAAGTGTTTTAGTTGTAAGAAAGAAAAATTTTTTACAATTATTAGTCCAACTATATCGATTTTGATATTTGTTATATCGAAAAATTTATGATCAAATTTAAATTTAATTTTTAAAAATAATTCTCTAATTTCATAATTTATTAAATACAAGGAAAAATAATAATCAAAAATCTTTTTTGTAATAGTGTCTCCATTGCAAGAAGAATAACAAGATTTATTCCTTGATAAATCTCTTTGGATAAGAAAATTACAACTTTTTCAAACATTAAAATATTTTTCAATTTTAATATTTTAGAAGAAAATTGTTTTTGTTCAAAAATTTACAAATCTTGAGGAAATTATTTATCTCATCAAGAGTGTATTGATTTTCATTTATAGTCGCATCTTGCTCTTGTAGCAAGTTACTTGCATATATACTATTATATATAAATGCTTAAAAATAAGCTTAATCATTAACTTGTTTAGTTAAAGTCTCTACTAATTTTGTCATATTTTTACGAAAATTAGCTTTACTTTCAAATATATGGGATTTTTATATGTTGTTGAGAAGATTATATAATTTAAAAAGGATTCTTGGATTATAAAAATCTTTTTTTCTAATAGAAAGGGCCTTGGTTTAAATAAGTCCTCTGTCTGTTTGAGAATTTGAGAGTATGATATAAGAGTCTATTGATTTAGATCATGAGAAAATTAGGATATATTTGGGAATTGGGTAGGCTTCATTACTAATTTTAATGAAGGTTGAAAAATGAAAAAGTATGGTTGAGGTTGATAAAATATCCTTGACAATATGGAATTGGTTGAAATCTTAGGTTAAGATTTTGAAAAAAAGTAATCTTGGGTTTAGATTGCTTCTTACGGAGGGTAGTCCATTCACTTTGCTGTTCGAGAGGTTTTTTGCCTCTATCTATCAAGCTTGCTCAAAAAATTAACAAGAATATTATTAATTTCTTTAATATATTCAATAATAAAATTGCACTGACATTAAAAATTATACCACCAAATACTTATAGGATTATTATCTAATTTTTTATTTTTTAAGAAATCTTGTACTGCTTAATTATCAATTCTAATAATAAAAAGGGTTCAGGTGCTAAATAAATATGGAACCTAGTTACTGTATTTTTTTATGGCAAGTAAACTATTTTCAAAATATAATATATTTGATTTCATTTGGTTTGAATTTACCCGAATTGTATCAACAAATTAATTATTCTTTTTGGACTTTTACCTTGAAAATACATCCCAGTGTTCATCTCAAGAATCTATTTCTAAAATTAGTAACTCTCCTGGTTAAGGGAGATAAACTTTTGGAATATAAATAAGATTTGATTTTATTTGTTTAATAATATCAGCATTTTGTTTTTTCCAATGAAAAGGAATATTTTTTTTCAATTTTTATTGTAAAACTTTTTCTTTTTTTAGAAGGATTTTTCATAAATTTTTGCCATAGTTTAAAAAAACCAAAAAATTTTTGTAAATACTTTTTATCTTCCAGTTGTTCTGGAAAATCCTTAATTTTTACAATAATATGATCTTATATAGTAAGACCATCAACATATAAATTTAATCCTAAAAATTCTATTTCTTGTTTCTTCAAGCTCTATCTTTTTAGGACTTAAAATAATTCTGTGTTTAATAAATTCTTGAGCAATTAAATTTAGATGTTTCCTATGTTGTTCTAAATTTGAAGAAAAGATAAGAATATCATCAATATACACACAACAAAAATCTTTATATTTTTCAAAAATAAAATTTCTTTTTCTTTGAAAAATTTGAAGAGTATTATAGAATCCAAAAGGAATTACTTTCCATTGATAGTGTCCTTTTGGAGCACTAAATGTAGTTGATAATTTTGACTATTCAGTTAGCATAATTTGTTAAAAACTTGATTTACAGTCAAATTTATTAAAATATTTAGCATTTTTAGCTAAATTAATCAAAACATCTTTTCGAGGAATAAAATATCCATCAAAAACTAAATTTTGATTTAGCCATTTATAGTTGATTACCATTCTGGATTTGCCTCATTTTTATTCAGCATGATTTCTTACCAAAAAGGTTGGACTTGAATGTAGACTATTAGTTGGTTATATTAGTCTTTTTTGTAAAAGTTCAAAATTTTGAATGTCAAATTCATCTATATCTTATTTAGTATAGATCATGGGTTTGACTCTAATAATTTTATTAGAATTAATCATTTGTAAACTATAATGTCTAGGACTTCAAGACCATAATTTTAGTGGTTCTTTACTAAAATTTTTTTGTAAAATTTTAAATAACTAATGTTTTTCACTGATTGCTTTAATTTCAACTTTATTAGCTTCAAGCTAAAAATTTAAATCACAAATATGCATATGATTTTTTACTATAGGAATTTCTATAGATTCTTTATCTATAATTAAAGTAATATATGAGGAGGTCAAACTATAAGGTAAATAATTGAGTAAAAAAATTATTTCTTAATAACATATATTCATGCATAAAAAAAAAACATAAAATTTTTAAAATTATGAACTTTTTGTTCATAAGATATATAGAAATATTTTTAGTTTTAAATACTATTACGGTTTTTTTACCATCTATACCTATTACTGCTAAAGGATGTTTCACGGGTTCCCATTTACTTAATAGTAATGCATTACTCCAACAACTAGTTATAATAGTTTCGGTATCAAGTTAAATGTGTAATGAGTATGGTTTATACTTCTTAAATCGAAATTTTGCATTAATATAATTATAATGCCTTTTTGACTGATTATCAGAAAAAGTAATAACTTTATCATTTCTAATTTTATATTGAGTGATGACAACTAGGCTTCTAATATCTTTTCTTCTAGTGCTTCTAGAAGAAACTGAATTTAAAACTTAGTTTACTGAATTGTAAACAGAGTTTTCTTGATTAAATCTATTATTATCACTTGAAAATATAGGAATATTGACATTTTTTGTTCCAATAGTCCCTGATGATGATTTAAAAAAATTGAAAGATTGTTCACTAGCAATACTTTCAACATCATCTTCTCTGTTAGAGTATGATGGTATTGACGAAGATAAGGGCAGTACTAAGTTATTACTAGAACTACTAGCTTCTAGATTTTTGAAATATAAGTTATTTTCGGATACAAAAAATTATAAAGAGTTGAATCTACTGTTTGTACGTCTTTCTTTAGTAACATATTCTAATAA